AATGCAAAAGCATTCTACTGCAAACTTGTGAATCTGCAGCTCAATCTATCGTGTGCCTGGAGTGCAGCATTTGTCTATTGCTGTATTGACACAATCTTAATGAATCTTCTCATCAAGGTTGATCTAGTTAGTTCACGTCTTCTAATTATTATACCCGTGAGTGCATGATATTTCTGGAGTAGCAAAGGCTCTGCTTTGAGGAGATGAAGGAACAATTCTCATAATTTCTAGTAGAAATTCTCCTTTCTTATCTTCTCAAAACCACATTCATTTTTGTTTGAATTTATATTCACTATTCTTTTTCTCAGGACCTTTAAAAAAAAGACTCAGACAACTACTGATTTCTTCCAAGTGGAAATATAATCACCAATTTTTTATGATAGAACTTATGAATCTGACTTCACAACAGATAGTTGCTTTCTTGATGGATATTCATTGTATTCCTAGTCTGCAGTATTCTTTATTGCATCTAGCTGATTATTTCTGCAGTATTTTGATTTAATTTGGGCTGTTCTCTGCACTCCTTAATGATTTGGAGACTTAGGCCTATCCTTGATGTGGGAGTCTGGTGACTCATAGCTGGTTGTATGCAGAAACTAGCTAATTTGACCTACCTCTGGAGTGCTTCTTTTGGTGAGCATTGACATACATTGAGATAAAACATTATCTTTGTTTTATGTCAGATTAGGATTCATAACTTCTTGGAGAAAATTCGGAATCACAAAAGAAGAAATGTTTTGGCTGACAATCAAGAGTGTCTGAGCAAGGAGAAGGCAATGCTTAGGAAACGTGTTAACAGTTTGATCAGAAGGAAAAGGCTTGTTGAGGTGCAAAAGTTGGTGGAAAATGAAGACTTAGAACCTTGGGGTCGAGGTACCCAGGCTAAGGTTTGTGCTACTTTAATCTCTTTCTTTCTGAATGTTAGATTGCTTATGTATATACATATATATATATGTATATATATTGCAACTTGTTTTTGTTACATTCTGGAGTCTGAAATTCTGATTCCTTCAATCTAACCTGTTCTACAGTTAGGAAGTCGCCTGTTAGAACTCTTAACTGAAACAGCATACGTACAGCCTCCAGTTGACCAGGCAGCAGATTGTCCACCTGATGTTCGACCTGCATTCAAGCACAGATTTAAAACTGTAACAAAGAACCCGGGGTGAGATTTTATATTTTGCGACCAAGCAGCCAATTATTTATAAACAAATTCACTCCTTTTAGTTGTAAGGATCGAATTGAACACTTTAAGGGAGTATCATTCGGCCAGCTTTGTTAGAAGGGAATGCATTATCTAAAAGAATTTCTGTCACTACCTGGTGATGCAGGACAAAGAGAGCTTGAGCACAATACTTAGAGAAAATTTATTAAGAACTGGAGTTGGAGATCTTGGATCGAAATAATTAAATCAATAACTATATAGTTATATAATAATCATATGAATAGTTTACCAAATACCTAAATTAGGATACCCTTTTTATAGGCACCAAAATGCAATCAAAATATGAAGTCTTAAGGCTACTAGAAATTCTACTAAATTAGCAAATAACCTAACTAATTGAATAACATATACGAGAGAATAACTAAATAGGATCTTAAATAGTTATGAAATAGTAAACTCACAGCAATAATAAGCCTATGGGTACTAGTTCCTAAATAGCTAAACGACTTAATAATACATAAATATGACACTTACATGAATATCTCTTAGTATTAAAATATATCTACTTTAGAGACTTCTTATTCCATATCACCTGGTTCCTAAATCTCTTTAGTTTATTTATATTTAGGGAATGGCATAATTCAAAACTAAAGAGAGTCCAAGTTTAGTTTGTTCTGCTCTTGTATATGCATTATATGTAAGACTTAAAGCAAAGCTGTGACTTGTGGGAGATGCTAGGCTAGTGTTGATGTCCTTCTATTATATCATGTTTTTCTTAAGGAGCCACGCTTAATATTTTCTATATCATGTAGGCAAAAACTTGTGAAGAAGTATGGAGTCATAGAGTGTGATCCTCTCATCCTCTCAGGGCTTGATAGATCTGTGAGTTCTCACTTTCCATTTTGAGATTATCTGTTTGGACCAGTTTCAGTTGCATTGCTGGGTTACTTTTCTGGCCTGGTCATCCTATAAATGAAATCTCCTTTTCTACTTAAATGAAAATGGCAGATCTTTGTAAAAAATACCTTTTATCATAAAAAATATTATTATCACAATATATTGAGTTTTAATAATGTGCCATGAAGAAGGAAAGGACTTTGGGTGAAGTAGTGGTCCTTGAGTTATAACACTTATTACTTCTGCTACATATTTTTGTTTTTTTTGTTTTAATTTGAGAGAGAGTTTGACTCGGGACAGGAACTTGAACTCATGACCTTGGACGTATGAGTGCTTAGTCAACAAGTTACAATTAAAGCATTAGGTTACTGCTTAGTGATTCATATATTCCTTTGTAAATTATGCAATATGAGTATTGGCCTGTACTTAATACTTCTCTATCTGTGATTTTGGTGTAGGCTAAGCACATGCTGATTCCTTATGTGCCAATGTTGGTCCCTCCAAAGAAATGGAAAGGGTAGGGTACATGAAACAAAGTGTTTATTTCGTGATTTTCTTTCAATAAAACATGTCATTTTGGATGTCATAGCAAATAGTATGCTCTAATCTTTAACCATATTTGATAATTCCGTTTCCTTCTATAGAAACGTGCAAACAAACAAAGCAATCATTGGTTATTTATAAAAAAAAAAAAAAAAACAAAGCAATCATTGGAGACATAAAAACAGTGTTGTTTTCCTCTTGTAAGTGATATAAGATAAACATATGACAACAACATTTGTAGATACTTTCATACTGCAGTTAGTCAGCAGAATGTCTTCTTGTTCTAATCATTTTTTTATTTTTACTCTCAAAAAATTATATTTTTACTTTTACTCTCAAAAAATTATATTTTTATTTTTAAATTAAGAAGCTTTTGAAATTTCTTTCAGGTATGACAAGGGTGGGTACTTGTTCTTACCTTCTTATGCAATGCGTACTCATGGATCTAGAAAGCAGCAACAAGCGCTTAGAGATGTTCCCATCAAACAAATGCAGAAAGTATTTGAGGTAAAAATGTAAAGTTTCAATTTTTCTCTTTTTCTGAGTTAATGCTGAAGATTCTGGCTAGCTTAGCGAGTAAAAGTTTCTTTAGGCGTGGCTATCATGGCGATAATTCCGAACGCCTAGCATGGTACATAAAGTCCTTGGTCGTTGATGCCTGTTGTGAGAAAATATTTTCTCGGTGTTCTCTAATGTAGTTGTGAGATTTAGGTTTCATAATGTTAATTATGTTACTTGGCCTAAAGCTCATAATTCTTCCTTTGGTGATGATTTACATCACATCATTATTTATTAACCTAGGCCTTGCGAATGATTCTTTTTGTTTTCCTATAAAAAAAGGCCATATATTTTATATTGAAAAATAATTTTAGGCCATTAGTTCTCTTAAAATTGTATAGCCTACAAGATAGATAAAACATGTGAAATGTTCTGGAGGCTGTTGTTTTTTTGATATAACCAGTGTCTAGGTAGTTAGTTATAAAAAAAACTTGGCTTTTAGAAAGGATAAAAATAATAATTTGGCTGCTGCTAGTACTTTAACCCATGAATTCTCTCCATTGAATGATAATATTTAAGTCAATTATAGTGTGATGTCTCTGACCTGTCACATGAACAGGCTCTGGATACACTTGGGAGCACCAAATGGAGGGTGAACAGGGAAGTACTTGATGTGGTGGAGGGCCTTTGGGCTAGAGGAGGCAACATAGCAGGCTTAGTTGATCGTGAGGATGTGAGTGCTTGATACACTTCTATTTCTCAATTTCCTTTTTGTTGGCAAAAGTTTTTGATGGACTATTTTTACAACTTTTTCTTTTTGGAAATAAAAATGTTGCTATTTTTACAACTTGATCTATGATGTTTTGATATGGTTTTTCTTTACCCATTTGATTTTGGAAACATTGTCCCTTCACTGGCTTTCTAGATTCCCATCCCTGAGAAACCCTACTCCGAGGATTCGGCAGAAATTCAAAGGTGGAAATGGAGTGCGAGGAAAGCAAATAAGATTAACCGAGAGAGGCATTCTCAGCGATGTGACATTGAACTTAAGCTCTCTGTAAGATTTTGATATGCTTGTGTTTACTAAAGTATTTTGCTGCAATGCTAGTTAAGGTTTCTTGTAGTCGGAAATCTGAGCAAAACTATCTCATGGCAGGTAGCTCGGAGAATGAAAGATGAGGAAGGCTTTTATTATCCCCACAATCTTGATTTTCGAGGCCGTGCATATCCAATGCATCCTCATTTGAATCATCTCAGTTCTGATCTTTGTCGAGGAGTTTTGGAATTTGCTGAAGGACGACCGTTAGGGAAGTCTGGGTTACATTGGCTAAAGATACATTTAGCAAACCTGTATTCGGGAGGCATCGAGAAGCTTTCACATGATGGTCGCCTAGCATTTGTAGATAGCCATTTGGATGATATATTTGATTCGGCAGAGAATCCAATAAGTGGTAATCAATGGTGGTTAATGGCAGAAGACCCTTTTCAGTGCTTAGCTGCTTGTATTAATCTTTCAAAAGCATTAAAGAGCCCGTCACCACATACCGTAATCTCCCACTTGCCTATTCATCAGGTAAATCTCATAAAGAGGTCTTCTTTTATGTATTTTCTCTGAATCATTTACTTTGCAATTTAACGAAACCATCCCTTTTGGAAATTCCATTGAATTTTACTTAAAAATTGAAGAGTGCAAAAGGAAGTTTTCATTTCTAATTGCATGGACGAAATTTTAGGTCCTTGACTTCCTCGTATTAAGGCTTTTATGGACACAATGTTTCAGTTATTTTGTTTTGTTTCGTTTGTTTTTTTAATAAAAGCACAGTATTAATGAGCACAAAGGGAGTGCAACTTATATACAGAAACTCTATAAGTCTGTCAACATAACAATAAAATCTCATAAATCCTCACTAATGTAAAGAGAAATACCTTTACTAAAAAGACATAGGATCTGGAACCAAATATCTATAATTCTATCAAAAGACCATTCAATGCCCTCAAACACTCTTCTATTTCTTTCTTTCGATAAGACCCATAATGTAGCCAGCAGAATAATGCCTAAGCTCTTGTTATATATTTCATGTATGCTTCTCTAGGCCCATATCTCTTCTTTGAACAACCTGCCATAACTCAGTTCACCCCATAAGACTATTAGCCGAAACCCAAAGCTGGTGGGAAACAGGACATGATAGAAGTAGGTGATTGACCGACTCTGCAGCTCTCTTATATAAGAAACATCCGTTTATGATAATCTTCCCCATCTTAGTCAAATGTTTCAATTGTTTTCTTCTATTAAATATCAAAATCTAAATGCTTATGGATTCATAACTTTTTTTTTGAGATAAATGCTCGTGGATCCATAACAATCCAAATTGAATCTGTTTTTAATCTTTTTAAGGTCACATTTCTCTTAAATTCTTTTTTTAACTAAACATTTCTCTTAAATCTTAATAATTTGATGTCATGTTTTCATTTTTCTGGTGTGATGTCAATCACTCTTGATAAGAGGCTTAAGGATATCTTGGAGTTTGCTATCTTCTAAAAGAACATCAAATCAGAACGTTTACATGAAATGTGTTGGGGAAAAATTTAATGCATTTGAATGTTACCAGATTTCTTTGGGTCACTAACAAATGATATCAGTCTTATAAGCACCTACAGTAGGTTACAGTGACTGAAGATGGTGCTTTCTGTTCCTTTCTTTTTTCTTCTTTTAAAAATTGCCGTGCAGCATCAAACACTTTCTCCAAGGATGTCACTTAATAAGATCTAGGAAGTGGAAATTGCTGGATTATAATTATCATGTGCTTCAATGTTCTAGATCTTTTTCTACAATGCTATTTGCAAGAAACTTGAAATAGGAGGTGCAAGCTTCAGAAGTGGGATCTTTTTATTTGCATATATCTAAACTCTGTTTTCTGTTTGTGCTGTAGCTTATGATGATTAGCTTTCTTTTGGTTCAAAAGTAACTCATTTTCCATTTCCATTTTAGGATGGTTCATGCAATGGCCTACAGCACTATGCTGCTTTGGGAAGAGACAGTGTACGTATTTGTGAATTTTGTTCTTTCATTTTTTCCTAATGATTTATACTTCGACCTTATGTTCCTTCTCTTTCATTAATGGATACTGGAGATGGATACTGGAGATGCTCCAATTTCTGTCTATTAATTTACACAACTTTTGGACGAATTTATAGATACTCTCTTTTCTGTCTGATAATGCAAACAGCATTATTTTGAACGACTCATTATTTTGTTTTGATGTTTCCAACTTATGAAGTTAGTTTAAGGCATAACTATTTGCTCATGTAGTTCCTATAATGAATCTGTTTTTCTCAGTTTGAAGCTGCTGCAGTTAACTTGGTTGCTGGAGAGAAACCAGCTGATGTTTACTCAGAAATTTCTGTGAGGTATAACTGACAAATGAAACCTGATTGGCATTTTGTTAAATATTAGCATTGTAGCTCAAGCAAATTTCTAGCGTAAAAACTTTATAGGATTTTTATCCTTCATTGAATTGAATTCATTTTGATGGTTTTTGATAGCAATGATCAAGGATGAAGACTCAAGGAGATTTGTTGGATGTTTATAGTTATTCCTTCTTATTCAAATTTACAAGAAACTAGTGCTACATAATCTTGAAAGAAAATACTGTCATATGCCATGAACAACTTAGCAGGAAGAGAAAAATATTTGAGAAAGATAAATGTAGAACTCTCTGTGCACCAAGTTTTTTGAGCTCCCTGTGTTATGGTCCTTACTTATGGATCGTGGGACGATTCATAACAAAGTCAGTAGATAGAATAACCTTTTTTTTTCTTTTTTTTTCTGTCTTTACCTGTCTTTAGAAATTAAGAAATAATTGGGGTTCATTGGATAGAGAGAACCCTGCGATCTCTATAGTATAAAAATACTCTTCATTCAAGAATAATTTCATACATGATGCTATTTTTCTCCCATAGCAGAGGATATATACAAAGAGGGTAGTCAGTTCTGTAATTTTTGACTTTCCAGAATTACCTAAATTACCCTTTTCTTATGATAGATTTATCTCCCACCCTAATAGATAGTCAACACTTAATTAAAAACACTTACATAAAAATTACACAATAACATTTAAACTAAGACAAATGGATGAGGAATTACACAAGATTATTCCTTTTTATTCCTTCTTTGATAGACCTTAGGACAGGGAATTATTTTGCCCCTCACACCCTATGAGAATAGTCTTTTCAATCTTTTTTGACCCTTTTTTTTTTAACGCAGGAAAAATGATAACAAAAACTGTAACAAGGGAAGGATAGGAAATATGATCAGAATATGTACCCAGAAGACGGAGTTTCTTAAGTTAAAAAGTCTTTTTTATAGAAGATGGATTATGGTTTAGCCTATAGTAAATAGAAGATGTGGCTCACTGATCATGTAGTTGAGGATACAGAATCTAAGTAGTCATGTTTCCTTTGCAGTGATACATTGATCTTTGCTTTCAGTCTGTGCACCTTCTTGTCAGAGTTGGTTCTTATATTTGTATGCATTTCTTAATATATATTTATTTAAAATGAGACCTAAGAGTATTTCTTTCTCTTTTCTCTGTTGATGCAGGGTTCATGATATAATGAAGAGGGACAGCAATAAGGACCCTTCTACAAATCCAAATGCTTTATTAGCAAAGATCCTAATTGGTCAGGTTGGTCTTTCTTTTTAGTTGTTCTGGAGTTCAAATAAATTAGGTTTCCCTATAGAAGTTTTTAAGCTCTAGAATATTTCAGGTGGATCGAAAGTTGGTAAAACAGACGGTAATGACTTCAGTATATGGTGTCACATATGTTGGGGCACGTGAGCAAATAAAAAGAAGGTTAGAGGAGAAGGGTCATATCACTGATGATAGACTGCTGTTTGCTGCAGCGTGCTATGCCGCTAAAGTAAGCAACTTATGTTCTTCCTATACCATTTATTAGGCTGCATTATGCTATGTATTGTCAATTAGTACGCATATATACTATGTGCACATATGCATTTATGCAATTTAAAACATTTTGGTATAATATGCTTGAAACCAAATGACACATAAAAGTAAATAAAAAATTAGTGGGACATAAAATTGAGTGTTTAACATTTTCCTTCTCTCTAGCTTCATTGTTGCCAATTGCTCTTTGCATCCTCTTGATTTTCTGGTCATGAAGTTTGTTGTTGTTAATAGATTGGCATGGAATCAGGGGTATTTATACTTTGTTCACTAAGTCAGATTCCCTCAAATTTCCCTCTATCCAGATAAGGAGACAAATGATGGTTGTGGTTGTATTTATCTGCTCCGTTTTATGTTGGATATCACTTCACTGCCCTTAGAATGAGTCTTGCTGAGATGGTGGCTTGCTAATAATGAGAAGTCCAGCACCATCTTGATTGTCTATGAAGAGGTCAATGTTTAGTGCTGAACATTTCCCAACAGAATCATAACATTAGAATTGTGATATAAGAAAGGTGGGTCCTCTTGAGTTGCTTAGCTGTAATCGAGTTGTGTGCAGACAAACAAAATCATCAAGCAATCCTTCTAAGTTTACTAAAGCTTGACAAAATGAATGCTCTTTTTAACAAAAGGTTAACAAAATGAAGTGCGACTACATTCTATATGATATGCATATATATGTTCATGCAACCAATTCATAGTTCATTTTTTGATCATATGGTTGTGTATATTTCTATGAAGGCTTTCTTGTAGGGTTATATTTATGTTGATCTTATATATGATAGGCATAAAAAGTTCCATGTCTCAAGTTCTTAAATGAATATTGCACATCTTCAGCTCCAGTTTCACCTCTTTTCCACAGGTGACATTGGCTGCTCTTGGAGAGGTTTTTGAAGCTGCACGGGCCATAATGGCTTGGCTTGGTGATTGTGCTAAGGTATCATCCAGTTACAGATTTTATCAACTGCCTGCGGTAAATTTCTTCATTGGAATGTAATGTATTGCCTTTTGGGATTACGAAATATGCAGATTATTGCTTCAGATAATCAACCTGTGCGATGGACTACTCCTCTTGGTCTCCCTGTGGTGCAACCCTACTGTAAAAATGAACGACATCTTGTGAGTGTGAATATTTTGAAGAAAATAAATTTCTAATTTTATTTCTTATATGGTTTGTGTTTACATTTAAAAAATATATATATAGAGTAATTATCCTTACTTTAAGAAAATTCTAATTACATGATATATTTTTACTATTAGAACTCTAATTATAGCCTAATACTCTACTTAACATAGAATCCTTATCAACATTTCCTCTCAAGTTTGCGCAAAAATATCATACATGCCCAACTTGCAAATCAGGTTCTAAAGAGATTTATTGTATAGTCTTTTAGTGAAAATATCAGCCATCTACTCGCCAAAAGATACATGATATAAGCATAGAGAGCCACCAACCACCTTCTTTTTATGAAGTGTCGATCATTTCAATGTGTTTGTCTTATCATGTTGAATTGAATATGAAAATGTAATGG